TCGTATATTATTAATGTTTTTAAAAAATGAACGGATAGAGACTAACCACAGCATGGGACCGTATGACTCATTTAGTGATTCTTATAGTACTTACTCAAAATTTTATTCCTTTAAAGAGATTTACCTCAGTGGTAAATATTATAAATTTAATTCCCACATGTCCAATCTCGATAAAACTAGGCTCATTCGACGTGTTTTTGCAAAAACAAACGAATTTAACAAAAAGAAGTATTGTTTTGCAAAACGAATTTTTATGTTTAAAATATACTTTTATAAAAGTTTTATTAATATATCGCCAAAGATGTAGCTTAAAATACATTAATCTTTATTTTAATAATCTTAGTCACCTTATCCCGGTCCCGAGGCTAGCTGAATCAGATGGAATGTATTAGAAAGATTTTTTTTTCATATTAGTTATTAGTTTCCTCTTATTATTAAAATATTATTAGATAGTCAAATGTATGTAGTAACGGGAGTAGAATTCATTTTTCCGATAAGTCTCTTAATTTCGTCTGTAAAAATTCGAAACTGAAAAATGAGTCTACTAGCCCCGGTCTCCCCTACATGTTACTGTCGATAACGAGGAGAGAAACTTCTTGCATAAAGAGATGTTATACTCGTATATGTGAAAGCTGCTTGAGCTTTCAATATAATAAACATGATTTCTATTGTAAAAGTTATCGAACGCGCGCATGCATAAACAGTCTGAAATTTTAAACAAAATAAATGAGAAGACTTTTACTTCGAAACGTCATAGTAGTACGACGGTTGTGTTCCAAAATTTATGCCAGTACTGAAAATCTATAGTTTACGTTATAGTGCACTATAAATTTTCAGTACTGACAGTAAATTTTGGAACACCTATGTGCATATATGTTGAATTTTTCATATAGAAGAGAAGATGACATCAGTATATATATCGTGGCGCTTCTTAATATCTCCGTTATTAACTGACAAATTCCAATGATTACTGTGGAATTATTTATTCAGTAGCTTGCCTTTACACCATGACACTAATATGCTAATACACTATAGTCTCAGCACTTATTATAATGCATTTTTAAGAATTTGCAACAATTTCGAAACATTTTTTTAATACATTTTAGGATTTTAATTACATATACATCCTCATTTTTTTTAAACTTAAGCGTATTATTACACGAATATATGTATATTTGAATGTGTCGTTTGTTATTTAACATTTTATCTGGCTGTATAAATTTCGAGTTATGCAAAGTTAAACAATATCATAACGTTTCGCTAATATGGTCTCGTAAGCGTATTGATTGCTGAAGGCCTCTTTTTCGAGGTTTTCATATCAAAATTATTCTTTGAACTGATTATAATTCTAGTATTAATCTATAGCTTACGTCACACATATTATAGATTTTTAGTACCAAACTGCCTTATATACAAAAAGTTATATATATACACATTTGCATACATTCTAAAATATTTTACTTTTTTGTTAATTTTATAATCAAATATTGTTTTCTAAATGAAATAAAATTTTTAAGTCTATTTTTATGGAAGGCCACATTATCATCCCTGTTTCTCTTCCAGCCATTATGTCGTCACATTTTTATTAATAGTGTTCTGAGTAATAAATATTTCTTAACTTTGAATCCTGAATCGATTCAACAATATTTTTTGACGAATATATAATAATTGTTACATTTTAAACTCAAATATTGCTTATTAATCAAATTATTATGTAAAATATAACTGGGTGCCATAACATCACCTTCTCCTTTACTTGTACTGAATTTATTTCTGCTCTCTGACGATCGCGCCATGACTTGTATTTACTGTTTTTATATTTATTATCGCGAGTCTAATTTTATAATGTTCAATATTAATAAGGTAATTTAATAAAATTAATTTCCTATTGCAGTTGAAGAAACTGAATGATTAATAAAAAATGATAATGTGAAATATAATATATGAAATTTTATGACTGAAACAACTTTTAGAAATAGAAGTTTTATCAGATTTTGCTAAACTGCTTTAAAATATTGCAATAAAAATTACAGCAATTGAGAATTTTATTTTTAAGAGAGATATGATCTTTTATTTCAATAATAAAAAATTAAATAGTATAAGAAATTGAATCATTTTTTTCACATAAAGGCCTATTAACTAAGAAATTATAAAGATTATTCTTAAGTCTTTTATAGTATAATAAACTATAATTTTCTTTTCTTATATAATTTCTTATAATTTTTTAGCATTATTATAACATTTTAAATATGAACATTAACAAGTGTAAAAGTGCGATTTAGGAAACTCATTGCCTAAATCGTGGCATAAATTGCCAAAAAAAATTATACCATTAAAATCATTACAGACTTATTGAAATTTCTCATTTAAAATGTTATAATAATGTAAAAATTTATGTAATTTAAAAAGTTTAACATAAAAAAGGGAAGAGATTGTATTTTAATATGCTGTTAAGAACTTAAAAATATTCTTCATAATTGCTAATACATGATAGTTTTAAGAGATAATTTAAGAAATTTCTGTGTGAAAATATATAAGGCATTTTGCAGGTTTATAATATTTTAATATCTGATAAATAAAATAACAATGTAAAAAATGTAAAAATGTTAGGCAATGTATGATTTTAGCAGAATAGAGCATTTTGTAAAACTTGATTTACTACACATATAACTACGCATACTTATAAACAGGAACATAAAGAAAACTTAAATCCCATTAATCTAATTCTAATAGTATTCTGATCACGACAAATTATCAAAACATAAGCTATTTGACTTACATTTTCTACAATTCTGCTATGAAAAATAACACCATTACGATTCTTTTATTTATGTGAACAACAACATTCCTATTGTGCTTCATGTAACGCAGCAGCGTTGCAATATTTATCATGTTTTCACATAATTTGTAAGAGTGTGTATGTACACTAATTGAATTTTTAGATGGGATTTGGGAGCCAGTACAATTTCGATCACCTTCTTCTTCTTTTTTTTTTCTTGTTTTGCGGCATTACAATTCACGGTGAACCAAAGCCTACTTCTCATGAGGTTTTTATAACAATGGATTTTCTTTTGGAATTAGGTTGTTAGCCTAATGTCCAACATGGGAGATCCATACATATATCCATTGATATATGGTATGTATATCTACAGTTTAACGCCTGGTCCGAACAGCGCTGGTAATTAAAGGTCTCTTAATCACCAGATGGACCTTCGACTCCTTAAATGCGAAAAATGTGGTTGCAGGTGAGATTGAACCTGGATCTACAGATCGCAATCCATTCAAACTCCCCTTCGACAACCTTACTCTATATTTTTCACAAATACTTCCTTTTAATATATTCCTAATAATATAGTAATCTTAAAGAGCATTTCTTAAATCCGATTGCACCAACGTTATTTGAACTTTAAAAGCAAAACTTAAAACTCTCTTTTTCTTTTTAAAACCTACAGAAGGATAGAGAGAAAGAGAGTTTTAAATTTTAATAACGTTTAAAGTTAAAATAACGTTAATGCAATCAGGCCTTAAAGATCAGTCTCGTAAGAATCTAATGAGTCACTTCTAAGCAGAATCGTTAGCTTGTTCTCGTAATGAATGGTTTACAATGGGCAATAGCAGCAGTGGATTAAGAAGTAGACGTAAAAATCGACCAATGATAGTTAATTATCCTTTTCAAATTCGATTATGATTTGTTGATTTCTACGTCTACTCCTTAATCCATTACTGCTACTGCCCATTGTAGACGACGCATAAGAGTTGTAAAGGCCATTGCACATAAAAGTTGTAGTCGTAATCGTAAGACCGATAAAGAATAAATTGATTGGCTACTACGCCAAGCGTTGCCGCATTCTCTGCGCAGAAGCAACATAAGTGAAACGTCATAACCTCAAAGCCGTGATCATAGTTGCAAGTTTTTACCTCGTCGAAAGATTGAACGCCTTATCTTTGTGACCAACCAACGAGAAGATAGTCACGTGACGTATCGCTTGCCTCGTTGCCAATCTATTTATCGCTTTTTATAATCTTAGGGTTACTAAACCTTTTACGACTAAAACTTTTACGTGCAATGGCTTTAAAAACTTACAAGTACTTATAACTTTATGCAATGTCTTTATAGAAACTTCTTGCTGGCCATCTATAAGGTTAATGAGAAATTGTAGATATTTATGAACTATCGTACGTCTTATGGTACATACAAATAGAATTTAAGAATTATAAATTAGTCATAAGTTCTTACAAGTCTTACGAGAACAAATTATGAGCCTTACGATTCTGCTCAGAATTAATTCATAATTTTTCAAATTAGATCTATTAATTCTAGGCTAGAATTATGAAGTTTTCGAGCATCAAATCTTTCGATAACTTCAATAGTAATAATTACTAAAAAATATAAAGTTTTAGTTAGAGAGAGATTACACTTTAAGAAAATATTAACAAAATAGATTACTAATTATTGCTTTTAATTTTTTTTTTATTTGAAGAGCCAATATCTACTTTTAATTTTTATACATTACTCCTATAATTTATTATTTTTTTATATCGATTAATTAATACACATTTCCTTAACGGAATATAATATCGAGTTACAGAATGGTTACAATTCTATCGCAAAATCACGAAACCGAAGCGATAATCAGTAATCTGTTCTGAGTCGAAACTCGATATGATCCAGGACTCTCCCTTTGGCGAACGTACATTCGCCGCTCTTTCGAGTTGGTCGCAGAACATTGATCAACACGTTTTCCAAGGTGTAATGTGAATCCGAGCGCAACGATACATCAATACGCTGAGACGAGAGAGAGAGGGAGAGAGAGAGAGCCCTCGAGGGCGGCCGAAGTAAATTCGAAGGCGTCAGGGATGAATGATAGAGGGTGAACAAGGACCGGCGGCGAAGGGTGCGCTAAGGGCCGAGAAGTGAAAGAGAGGAAGAGGAAAATCCTACCCTCTCGGATCTTATGGCGCCACGGCGCGACGCATCGCGACGCGACACAGTGTCGCAAACAACCTGGCAGTCGCCGCGAGACACGCTTGATGGCATCGATCATTAATGCCATGAAAAACAATCACGAACGAGACTGCTGTGATGCGAAAGCTCCCTTCGATCTCTGTAGGAATAATTGCGAACAATTTTATTTCGAAGGGGTTTACATTTGAGATGCCTCAGTAATACATTGAGAGAAAACTTCGATATTTGTATAATTATATGGTAAAATGTTTATGGTTTGGGCACTTTATTTTTATAATTATTATGCTACAAATTAACATAATAATTATATTTGTAATTAAATATTTATATATTCTACAAAAAATATATATAGTTAGTACCAAAAAATGACTATAAATTATAGTTTAAATTATAGTGACTGCGATCATCTTTCTCTCTCGATATAAATGATTTAATGATTTAACACTAAGAGTTTCTTACTAATACCGGTAATCGATTCTTATATTTAAAATCTTAAGTACAATCTTAAGCTGTCATAAGCCAATCACTTAAGATATATTATACATTAAGATAAGTCCTGAAAACAAGAATAAACTTGAAATATTAACTTAAAAATGGGTGGAGGGACTAAACGAATAAATTATGAAAATAAAAAAAATAATGAAATTCAAATTTATCAATATAAAAAATATATAATAGTTATTGAAAAATTTCATAATCCTATTCTATCATTTACATAAATTGTATATACGTATAAATTTATAATTATTCATCTTGTTGAATTTAATTCTTTTCAATCTATTTTCTTTAATTAATATACGAAGCGAATTACATTTAATCTAGTAGTAATAATTTACTGTTCCCAAAGAAAGTTTTATGTGACAAGTTTTGTACGATTCTTTTTAGTAATTCTATTGTTTTTCGAATACGCGTATATATTTTCGAGAGAGAAATGGCGTTTAAAAACGCAAACAGTTGTTATATTTTTGTTTTTAAATCCCTGGCTTTGTGTCCCGTACGATTTCATTGTTCCCGCGGGGCTATCCTTTCGAATCACTCGCTAAGGCTAATTCGCGTCGGAAGGTAATCTCTGTTTACGGTGCGCGATTAATCTTCTATCGCTCACACATATTTATCGCGACGATACACACGCGTGCGTATTTGTGTATGGAACGACACGCGGTTGCGACCGCGAGATAGAATACGATCGGAAGGGTGGAAAAACACAGTGGCCGCGGTATTTTGTGAAAGGGTTGAATCGGGCGGGGACGAAGCGAATGTAGGTTCGATCACCGTGCACACACTGTGTATCATAAATTGCGGCACGGAGGAAACCGATACTTCCTCTCTTTTTATCCAGATCTATAATGTTATTTTATAGTTATGTGAAAACTGCGATGGATTTTTACATACCGTTGAATAAGAATGCGCTCAATACTTAATTAATATTTGACTGAAACTTACTCGATAAACTATAAAGAGGAGAAAAAGAATTTACAGTATATGTTCATTAAAAAATTTATGTCGAAGAAGATATAGATGTATTGTTAAATTCATAATAATGTCAAATTATACCTAATTTGAACTATTTTTAATTATATCTATAGGCAACCGTTGCATTAAATGTACCGTTCGTGTTAATTTAAAACGATAGAGTTAAACAATTTAAGACATGTGTTAAATTTGAAAAATTAGTTTATTATTTGTTTATTAGAGCATACGTTAATATGCTATTTATTCCGAAATGCTACTTACTTCGAAACAAAGAAATTTGATCATAGAAATGAGTTGATTAAATGTGGTTATTTTTTTAACCACATATTTTTATATTAAAATGATATATATTATATGATATACTTGGGAGTTAAAAAATGCAAAATATTATTTTTAACTTAAGGAATTAACAGTTCAAATTCTTACATCCTAAAGTTTGATTAGCCCTTGTTTACTTAATCAAATTTAAGGAATTAATTTAAATTTGATTCTTTAATATTTGACAGTGTGCATTCTCGAAGAATTGAATGATATTTAAATATAAGATGTATTTAAACAAATGTGATGTATGAACGTGTGGATATAATTTGAGATTTTATTTGGTTCTCTAATTGATAGCGCGTGACTCCCTCGGAATTTCGCGATGGAGATGACGTCGGAAAATAACGTATTACCCGGTATGTCCGGTAGTGTCCGTGCAGAGCCCTTTAATGGATTTCTACTATTTCACTTGCAGCGTCCGAACCTGGTATTTAACATGGGCCACGCGTATCCGATAATCGGGTGAAATTCATGCTCGTTGGATACTGCACAGACTCTGGTGTCGGTTCCAGCTATAATTCCTCGTTACGAAGCGCGGTCGTCAGCTTATAACGGTAGAGAGACGATACAGGGGATGAGAGAAGGTAAAAGAGAAAGATAGTTGCGCCGACATCCCACGCCATTCTACTTCCGAATACCGCGAGAAACTCGCCAGCTGTGCGAATTTTATTCCGCACGACTCGCGTCTTTTATGAAACGCGAAGGGTGCTCATAAATTTTTCATCGGCGCAGCTTAAACGTTTAACGTGCCAATCTCCATATTTATCGAACTTGCCTTGCCTCAATACATGTAATTAATAATAATCCTTGTCCCAGACTTACGATCTTGTTCCATGAAAGATCTCGATTAATTTTTTTTTGTGTCATGTTTGAAGTGTAGGATTTAAATTTCCCAAGATACTTAAGTATAAGTTGCTTTACAAATTAGATGGAAAAATTGCCATTAATTTAAAACGGGTTTAACAGTAAAATTATTCACGAATTATTTAACTATTTTCAAGTATTTAAAGTCGTTTATAAATCCTTACATATAATATTATATATACATATACAATAATATTAAAAAGTTTATGGCGTTTGAGGGACACCCCTTGGAAATTCAGTAAGAACATTGAAATTTGAATAAATAAATCATGTCATTCGTGCAATATAATAATAGTTTTTGAAACGTTCCCCAAACACTGCAAATATTTTAATAACTCTATCGTATCCAGATGTCAAAATCTATTTTAAAAAATATAATTTCTCCTACTTATAAATATTTTTAGTTAAAAATCGGCCCTTTTTTAATCCCCTTTTATCTTACAACGAATAATCGTAAGAAAAAAGTAATAACGTAAATTCGTATCTTAC